AGAAAACGCATCTTAATAAGAGTGTTGTTGATCGTAGCTAGAAAATTTATTTTTGACCGACTAATATTAGTTATTATAACATACTATTTAATTAGTAAAATCTATTTTTACCTATGTGTTGACAATTTTATATCATATTTTTTTTCGATGATTTGTGTATCTTTCTCTTAACTATCTATCATTCCTGCGATTCTCGGTTTTCACCTAATGTAAAAATCATTTTTTCCTTTTTCTTTTTCACTATTTCAATGAGATTATGCCAAATACAGAAAGAAAATGTATATGTTTGGAGATTTTATCTATATATTTAACTTAGTAACTCTCATTTTTTTTTTACTTATTTGATATTTCTATTAATAGTAGAAATTTTTTAAATTGAAATATGTGTTAGATTTGTTTCTTATATGGTTTATTTGTATCATATTATTTAGTAGTAAGTTTGTATGGTCTTCTTTTATAATGCTTATATATGTTGATCTAATTTCTTATTTATTTGTATTTGTACATTTAGTATACAAACAACTACTACAATCAACTTATTTACCAATAATAAATTTCAAATCTGCTATCAGATATTAGGGAATTAGCCAATTTTACTTTTTTTTTTTATTAGAAAAATATCATTAAATTTTTCAATTTTAAAATTCTTCCGACCCATATTCTAATTCCCTCTTAAAAGTGCGATCTGATCAATTTTAAGAGTCATTAAAGTGATACTTGAACTGATTGTATTCAAATTAGACTACTTTAGATAACCATTCAAATATTAGGTAACACTTTACTTTTGAAACATATGCACACTTTAATCAGTAAAATACCACGTCCCATAATTTTATATGGGAACAGCATCATTCAAAATGATGTTCGGGATTTTAGAAAACAAGTAAAGTCAATCTTACAGATCAGTTTCAATCTTTATCCAATTGATTTCAAATGAAGTGATGATGACTATTGACTAACAAATAGAGTACTCATAGACTATGAAATGAACAATAATAATTCTAATAAGAAAAGTGGATTATATATGAGCATTTATTGTTTTTCTAGACTATTAACCAAACATAGCATTGCTATAAATGATGCTTATATTGTTTAACTTTTAAGAAAAGTGATAAAAAATCTAAAACATGCTATAATATGAATACAATTTTATTTTTTTCGTGTAATAGTACTTTGGATGGTATTTCCATCTTCTTCTACATATATAAAAGCTCAACTTTTTGAACATTTCTGAATTACATGTTAAAAAGATAGACTATGAACAATTTCTTATATATATGATAATTTAAAATATTATTACCTTTAGAAAAAACACATCGATTGAACCGACCTAACATCATATACGCGTTTATATTACCTTTTTTCTATTTTCAAAGCGTGATTCATAATAGTATGCACGATTTTCCTATTTAAAGCACCTACAAGAACTACAAAAGTCCTCACACAATTAAAACAAAAGATTCATAAACATGACGAAAATTAAGAGTGTCGTGCTTTGCATAATTGTTTTTCAGGCCATTGTCGTGTCCTCTTTGGGCTTGGCCCAACGGAAATTGGTTTCAATGCGGCCAACAAAAGGAGTTCCGATCAACAACAACTGGGCCAACTTTCGGGTTCTCAATGAAGATGGGCTGAAAGCCAAGTTAAACACGCAACTCCCAAGAAAGCACGTCCCTCCATCGGGTTCGTCCGGTAGTACAAACAAAAGGCCTCCAGGGCGGACCCCAAATCACGGATGACGTGGATTACCGTCAATAATAATAAATGAATCCTTTTTCCTATTGATAAGTTACAATCTCTATATAGCTCTTTGGTTGGGGAATTATGAAAGGGAACAAAGTTATATATAAGCTCAATGGATGCTTTCTTGTACTTTTATCATGAATATTATCGTTGTTGGCGTTTATTATTATAGCACAGTCTATATAATTATTATAACAAACTCTATATTGTCAATACTATTATTTAAAAAGTTCATTGAAAAAACATATGTATAAAAAAAAATCAATATGATCATAACTAATAGTGCAAAATTAACTATCTTTGACTTTCCATTTGGTAGTAATAATAAAATATTTACTACTATTCAATAAAATGCATGATTTCTGCAGATTTGATTATCGCAACCAACATTATGTTTTATAAATTAAAAAGTGTGCTGAATAAATTATCTCATATTTTTCATTAAAAAAAATTGTCGGCCGTGAAAAAAAATATTATTTCACAATTATAAATATAAATTTGATTAATTTTCATTAAACAATTCCTCTTTAAGAAAAAAGTGGCGGGACAAATTTCTGCATGATTATAGCATCAAAACATATCCAAAACACCAATATTTTAATGCATTAAAAACCATACTTTGAGCAACAGAAAAATCATATTAAACGGAAATTGGCAAAGTCAAAGAATGAGGATTGATAAGGCATTGTATGTAATGGTAGATTGTTGCATAATATAGAAATATCAAACATAATTAATAATCAACAAAAAAAAGTCAAATCTATATGAAAAAATCAAAATTAAAAACACAGCAAATTATGTGCAACATTATTAGACACTATACAATATAAAAAGAAAAATAATTTGATTTCCCTATCATTAGCAACACATTCAACTTTTACCAAGACATCTGCCTTTATATTAAAATCGTTTTTTTGCGTAAAAGTTTTAAAAACAAAATTCCTACAGATTCTTTTAAACATTAAACAAGAAATTCCTAATATGCAATAAATATATCTAAACAGATTTGTTATAAACTTACCTAATATCTTCAAAATTTGAACAAAATACTAAAAACTTTGAAAAACTTTGAAAAACTTCGGCAAAAGACTTTGAACAACTTCAAAAAGCGATTTTGAACAAGTGTTAGCAAAATTTCACTTACTGATATGATGAGAAAGACGAGAAAGAATTGAACTATTTAGTGTTCAAAATCTGAACAAAATACATAAAAGTTACATATGTATGTTATAAACAGATATGAACAGATATGTTATAAACTAACCTATATATTGGTTAGTAGAGCTGAACAAATCTGTTAGAAACTTACCTATTTTTTCAAACCCTGAACAAAATACATAAAAGTTTGAAACAGTTCAACCAATGTCATGTTCTCTTCGAAAAACGATTTCGAAAAACATCTAAATAATTTCGAATTATGTATAAAATATGATATATCTTTGAAGCTTATTCACAAAGAATTTCGAAAAACGACACAGATCATTGAAAATAATAAAAAATAAAAACTACGTTTAACAAAAAATATTTCAGCTCTTCATAGATTTTTAATATTATCGCCCGATTTTGACCGACCTGTTAAGATTTAGCAAAACAGATTAAGAAATCGGGATGAATATTTATTTTTCGATCACTACTGTTGGCCATAAAAACAACATTTCTCGGATATTTTTTTAAAATTTTTTAAGCCTTTACCGGGAGAAAATCTCCGGTAAAACAGTTGTTTTGTATTGAATCTCGCTGAGTTTGTCGTAAGATCTGGTTAAGGATTAGGGTTTCAGACAGAGTGAATAACGAGAGAAGCGCCGACATCAAACTAAAAAAAAAATGGCTTACATCACTCTCAAGGAGTTTATCTCTATTTATAGTCATGTTATTATTGACCTGTTTTATATTTGATTTTGGCTACCCTAAAAAATTAAGTGGACTTCTAATTTGGGCTTAGAAACGTCTCAGAGTCGCCAAAAATTTTTAAACCGTAAGTCCTAATCCTAACTAAAAGTTTCGCTACATTAGGATTTAATTCGTATAATTTGGATGTGCATATCAATGATGTTCCTAATAGAACCCAACAATTTGTTCTAGCTATCATGGCTAAGAATCAATGAGTTTGGGTGTTTCGGATAAGGTTCCTAATAGAACCCAACAATTTGTTCTGACTAACAGTGCAAAAGGGACGGTAAAGGGGTTGATAAGAGGAAATGGTTACGAATGAAAGAATATGAGACATGTAAACCAACCAAAAATTTCATGACTCTGTTATGCAATAGCCATAGCATCAAACAAATTACAAGTACAATACAGAAAAGCACTATCGGTACATTTGAATAGAGGCCTATATGTAGCATACTCATTCCTTACAAATTCAAACATATTGTAGTACCGGGCAATTGACATAGAATCCTGATCCATAGTGCTTAGTGCCTTTTCAAATGGACAAACCCAAGACTAGTGCTTAAGGCATATTTGGTTTTTATTTCAATTTCATCCTAGACTTATTTAGCAATGATGAAAAACTACAGATATTAACAAACATCTTTTACCATCAATTAGCAACCAAGATAAGACAAGATTATTAGTCCACACCCATGAGAGAGATAGACATGGGTTATCATTCACCGAAGGAGGAATAATAGAACCATCGACGAAATCGTCTTTGTTCTCGACGCTATAGGCTAAGAGACATAATTGTCATCGATAAAAAGGTCTGCAATTATAGAGTGGAGATAGTATGGTGACGAGGCGTCATCGGTAAGATTTGCCACACTGGCCATTAGATCGAAAGTTATGATTTCAAAATCGAGTGACAATGGATTTGAAATCGAGTAGATCGAAAAAAAAAATAAGAAAACAGTGAGCAAAGGCAAAAATCGGTTAGAAAACCCTTGGACCTATGATCCCATATCAAGGTCTGAAATCAGCTCTTACATTTACAGAATATAGAGAACAATGAGGAAGATGAAAAGGAGCAAAGATTTTCGTGTTGCGAGAATGAAAAATGAATGATAAATTAGCATTACATGCCTTTGAGTCTACTATCTATATCTATATCTATATCTATATAATGGACCAATCCTTTTTTTTTTCTTTCTGACGAAACGATAGTGATATTATAAATAACGCACAAAGGTGCAGAAAGCAGCTACAAGCTGATCACAGCCAGCCAACAGCTGAGTACAAGCAGCCAATAGCTAAAACCTGGGAGAACAGGACAAATGCCTGCCTAGAACCGACCACAACGGGGTAAACTCAAGAACACTAAAAAAGAAAAACACCAACTAACAACACAAAGGCCTCATCAGGGCCATTCCCGAGTGTCTGACTCCAACAGAGTAATGAAAATGACACTCGGGCACACAAGGGTCAACGACCCAAACCAAAAACACGACCTAATCAACACGACAACACAAAACAAAACAGAGACTAACAACATACAACAACAGAAAAATAAAACGAGAGCCCTTCCCAAGCAGAAAACCACATCAAGCCCAACGACGGCAAAGTCTCGGTCCAGGATCCCAACCCAGAAACTGCAAGAGAACGCCTAACGGAGTCGAAAACCAACGGACCTAAACCCTCGTCCAGACGAACAACTCCACTGTCACCCAGAGACGAAGACACCTGGCCAACCAACACTACCCTGTCCAGCCCATCCTGGCCCAGCCCAGCCTTGCCCAGCTCAGCCCAGCCCAGCCCAGACCGAACCCAGCCAAGCCCAGCCAATCCCAACCCAGCCAAGCCCAGCCAATCCCAACCCAGCCAAGCCCAGCCAATCCCAACCCTTCCAACAAGCACAAAATCCAGCCAATTGATCGCCGGCAACCACGAAACCGAAGCTTCACACCCACCTTTCCGACGACTGCGAGGCCAATTTGGCCGATTTGGCCAGAATCCAATCTCCACCCCAAACCCTAAATTGGGAATTGGGGTCGCAGCTCGCTCCCAGAGAGAGCCGAAGGCCGCCGCAACGGAGATGCCGGAGGAGAACGAAAACCCGCCACACGCTTCCGGCTTCAGAGGCTAAACATCGGACGGAATACGCCGCGAGCTTCTCCCCGGCGAAAAAGCCCCCTCTAGCGGCGCAACTCTGGGTGGCGAGCCGCGGGGCCCAAAAGAGCCACCGCCGAGGACTCGACGTGCCCTGCCGGGAAGGCAACGAGGAATTTACAGATGTGGGGGAGAAGGCGACGGGGAGGAAGAGAGAGCGACTGGTTCGTCCGTTTTCTCTCTCTAATAAGTGCACCTGTTAGTTTCTAAATTGATTGATTTTTCCTGGGATTGATTACGATGAAACATACGTTTTAAATTTTTATTAACCTCTAAAATTATATTTTTATTCTTTTATCATCCAATATAATTATCATAATATTAAATAATTATTTTGTAAATATATATATTATTTAATTAAAAATATTTTAAATACAGATAACGTAATAATATAAATTCAAAAATCGGTTCATTGGAACCAATCCGTTTAAAGGAATCAAACCGTTTAGTTGACCAATTCTCGATTCAACAACAAGTTTGGCGAGCTTTCAAACCAATAGTAGTTGGTATTACTTTTATTTTTATTTTTATTTGTAAATTTTATTAACCTCTAGAATTCTATATTTCGAATAAAATTAAATAATTATTATTGTTTAAATATATTTATTATTTAATAAAAATTAATTTTTAAATATAGAAAACATTGTATAGTAATTATTATTATTTTGTCTCAAAACTAAATTTTTACTATCAAATATTGTTATATACTCACGGAATTAAAATTGCAACAAAAATTAGTAATAATTTTTTTTTTTTAATATTTGGAACTAAATTTCCAACAAAACCAATCTTATGGGACTATATTTGTAATTTTTTCAATATTTGGGACTAATGACAAACGGTGACTTAACGGTCAGTTAAATTTGGGACCAATTGCGCAACAAAAATTAGTGAAAAATTAAAATTGCGTCTCTTGGGACTAAAATTACGACCGTCCCAATCTAACGGGACCAAATTTATAATTTCCTCCTCACTTTTGAAACGTATGCATACTTTAATCAGTAAAATACCACGTCCCATAATTTTCTATGGAGCAACATGATTGAAAATGATGTTCGAAATTTTGGGAAACAAATAAACTCAATCTGAGAGATCAATTTCAATCTTTATCCAATTGACTTTAAAAGAAGTGATGATGGCTAAACAAATAGACTACGAAATGAACAATAACAATCCTAATAATCAGAAAAGTGGGTTATATATGAGCATTTTTTTAATCTATTTTTAGACTGTTAACCGAACTAAGCATTGCTATAAATGATGCTTATATTGTTTTAAGTTTTTAAGAATAGTGATAAAAAATCTAAAATATTTTATAATATGAAAATCAAGATTTTAAATCGTGGGATACAACTTTTAATTTTTTGGGTAATACTTCGGACAGTATTTTCATTTCCTAAAGCTCGAACTTTTCAACATTTTTGAATTAAAGGTTAAAACGATGGATTACGAACGATTTCTTATATATATGATAATTTAAAATATTACCTTTAGAAAAATGCATCAATTGAACCCACCCTGCATCATATATGCGTTTATATTACCTTTTCAATACACGATTTGGACATGCATCACGAGCATGTACATTTACCTTTGTTTTTTCCTATTTAAAGCACCTACAAGAACTACAAAGTCCTCACACAATTAAAATAAAAAATCCATAAACATGATGAAAACTAAGAGTGTCGTGCTCTGCATAATTGTTTTTCAAGCCATTGTCGTGTCCTCTTTGGGCTTGGCCCAACGGAAATTGGTTTCCACGCAGCCAACGAAAGGAGTTCCGATCAACAACAACTGGGCCGACTTTCGGGTTCCCACTGAAGATGGGCTGAAAGCCAAGTTAAACGTGCTACCAAGAACCCGAAAGCCTCCATCCGGTGGGTCCCATGCAACAAACAATGTGCCTTCCCCGCCACATGCACCGCAGAAGATTTCGCCAAGTCTCGGTTGACGTGAATTACCGTCAACAGTAATAAATGAATCCTTTTTTCCCCATGTTTTGTTTGCATTATAAGGACATTTTGCTATTGATAAGTTACAATCTCTATATAGCTCTTTGGTTGGGGGATTATGAAAGGGAACAAAGTTATATATAAGCTCAATGGATGCTTTCTTCTACTTTTTATCATGAATATTCGTTGTTAATGTTTATTTATAATCTTCTCTACATTACATGCATTTGATTTTCTGCATGGTTTCAAGGAATTGAAACAATTTGCAAGGAGATTGTTAATTTTGATATCCTAACTCGTGAAGTTATCAGATATATGTGAGTAAATACCTTAATATAAATCAATGATAAGCACAGATATCTCGAAAACACTGTGAGAAAATAAAAAAAAAATAAAACTGAGTTGAATTGTGTAATTTGGAATGGTTCGATTTTAATATTTTTTAGTTTGTTCAATTTGATTCGGTTTTTATGCATCGTGGTGTCACTACAAAAAAATGATTAAATTCCAACGGAAATATATTCTAATAGAATTCCAACGACAATTCCAATGAATATTTCAATGCTATTATTTTCGTTGGAATTAATCCAACGAAAATTCCAACAAAAATGTTCCGTTGGAATGAGTTTTCCATTGGATTTTAACGATTCCAACGTTGGTGGAAATAAAAATTCTAACAGAAATTGCATATTCCAACGGAAATTCCTACGGTCAAAAGCCGTTGGAAATATGGCCATTGGAATTATCAAATTCTATCTAAAATTCCAATGGAAAATACATTCCAACGGAATATTTTTGTTGGAACTTCGGTTGGAATCATTCCAACGGAAGCTATCCATTGGAATATCCGTTGAAATTTTCATTGGAATATATTACCATAGGATTTTTCGTTGGAATATAACAATTTTTTTTGTAGTTTGTAGTTTTGTTTGAAAAATTCACAATATCATCTTTTTTTTTGTTTTTTTTTTATTTTGTGCTATTTTTGCAACGAATTGTACAATTGGTTACAATAACTAAAAAGAGTTTTTCTATACAAAAATGACAATTCTGTCCCATTTACACAATACTACAAACGTCCCACATTGATTCTACAGGGTTAATGAGCCTAGTTTATAAGCCTAGTGGGCTTCTCCTCCCATCACCAGTTAGTTTTGGGATGGAACCTCACTATGGTGCATATAGGCTCTCACCTTCTTATAGTGTGCTTTACCTGGTGGGACCGCACCCTCTTCCCCCGATTCTATAAATGAAATAGGCAGTGAGACACTATTAATCCTTCTTTTAAAAAAGAAAAGAAAAAGGAAAAAAAGAAGATAAATAAAAAAAATCTTAATAAAAGTGTTATTGAGCAGATCGTCGGCAAGTGGAGTTGGTGGAGACTGCAGCTGGTTGTTTGTGGAGTAGGCGCGGATCGTGAAGCTCAAATGAAAGTCGCTAAGGCCTGAGTTCCAAGGCTATCAACTGAGGCCTGAATTTTAAGGATATCAACAAGGGCGTGGAGGGTTCTCCCCAAGGAAACCAATTCCACCTCTACCGGAGCCTGAAAAGAAGATGAGAGGCAATTCCACGAATGGCCAGATTGAAAGTTTGGAGAAGTGTCTTCAATCATTGGCTTCTACCGTCTCTACATTGCACGACATCGTCAAGGGAGTGCTCTCGATTCAAGCCTCTCTTAAATGCTTGGAGACTTAAATGGGGCAACTCGGGACATCTATAGGAGAAATCCAAAGGAGCAAGACGAAGGATAAGCTCCCGAGCCAACCTGAACATGTCAATGCCATCACGGTTTTATGTTCTAATATATATATATATATATATATATATTAAATATCCAATATTTTTTGCAAATCTCATTACCCTAAATATATATATATATATATATGTATAATTTTTATTCCAACATATATATGTCATGTTGGAATTGATAATTGAAATGAATAAAGCCACTTCATATGACACATTATATTGTGGCATGACGCCGTAGAATTTCTGCATGTTACCCGATAGTTTTATAGCAAAATTGTTCAATTCCCTTTTCACATAAAGGAAAAAGAAATATGTTCTAATTTTCGAAGCATTAAACAAGCATTTTGATATTCAGACCCGTACGACATATCGTCTAGGACCGGACTGAAAGGGTTGTTTGGACTGGGTATTAAGGGACCCGGTCAAAGCAAGGTAAAACCTGGTCGACCCAGATATTGACTTGGCCGGGTCACTCGATTTGACCCGGCGATTATTTCTTTTTTCTTTTTTATTTTAATAAATAAAATTATATATATATATAACAAATACTTATGATAAAATAAAATATTATTAAGACTTAATGTTATTAAATTTACTTATAAATAATTTATTTTTATTGTGTTATGTATTGTTGTAAGGTAAAAATAATATAATATAATTTAAAATTTTATAAAATTAATTACTCGATTCAATAATGATCCGATGGTTTGATCGGTGATATAGTGCCAAGTAGTCCAGCCCGGATCAATTACCCATCCGGGTATAAAACTATGCATTAAACAAAAAGAAGGAAAAAGAGAGAGAAATGAAATTTGAAGTAGAGTAAGCAAATTAAATTGCAACGCGCATGCTTAATTGATTTATCTGGTTATAAATATGCCTGGGGATATGAAAACAAAATCATAGCAATAATTTACGATTAAGCAGAGATTAACGGCAACCTTGTCAAAGTCACGCATTAGTCTTAAACTAACCTGGAAATTTAATTTAAGAGTTAAGATACGTTACATACGTAGACATCTAATCATGATTGTAAAAAGGATAAGTATAAAATATATATAAAAATAAAAAAGGTCCATTATATATATATACCAATAATTTATCGTAAAGTGCGGTAATTATAAAAAGAAAAAAAATATTTGAATATAAATAAAAATTAAAGAAGAGATGGAAAAGAACATAAGTTTCTATCCCAAAGCAAAGAATGCCTAACATTTTTCATACAATTTTTGTTTTAGTTTATTTAAATATTTTTTATTTATTTTTTTTACGACTCCACCTATTAAGAAAATATTAACTGTATTAATATTCATAGTTTTTAATTTATGATTTCAAATCTTTTAAAGCTTAAATCGGTTAGTGTTTACTTTTACGACCTGGATTCATAATTATCCTATTCGAGCTCAAATTGATAGGAGCTAAAACTTTTAATGAAGTGAATGCTTCCACTTGTGTGGTCAATTTAAATGTACACTAAATTAGCAATGTGAAATTTTTCTCTTTAATCAATAGTTTCATATATTTCGAATTCATATAGTTAATCCCAATTGATAGTTGGGTCATATTTTGTAACTTTATACTAACATTATATTTCCTTGCCCAATCAACCTCTTTCAACACATTACATGAAAACTTATTTCGTTTTTTTTTTTTTTTTNCTAAACTACATATTAATTACTTCATTACTTTATGCAAAAAGTATTATGTAAACAATAGCATTTTTTTGCATCGAGATTATAGTAATTTATGTTATCAATCAAAAACATGCTTTCGGTTGGGCTCGATTTTTCTGTGTGGAAGTCAAAAGACATCAAGTGTAGATAATACCTATTGACAACCATTGGTGTGATATATGCAAGCTAGAACATTTAAACATAATGATTTAATAATTAATTGATTACTATAGGCACTACAAAATAAAATATTGATCTACCACAATAAAAGCAAAGATGACATCTCTTCTATATAATGCACTCCCAACAAATTAAAGAACCCCCAACAAATCAAGTAAAAAACTAAAGAAGAAGAAAAAAAGAAAAAAATGGTGAAAATGGCTAATGTCATACTTTGTGTTATTCTCCTGCAGGCCATCCTCCTATCCGAACTCACTGCAGCCCGGCCCGGAACGGTTATTGGGCCCAAAGAAAGCCTTGAAACACGACCAAGCGGGCCTCCAAGTTATCTCGATCCGTCAGCATTTTTTGCCAAAAAACCGAGAATCAAAGCTCCCGATTCTGGTCCGTCCAGAAATAGTATACCAGATCCTCCTCCCCCCCCACCACTAGGCCCGTGATTATGGTCAACACTATATATCATCCATGACTAATCTATGTTTTATGTCACATGAGACTAAATAATTTACTATCTTTTTCTTTGTGTTGCTTAGTTTATTCCTCAAGCTAAGGCTTCTTAATTATAATACAATCCCATGAATTTTCCCCTGAATTTCGGGTCTTTGCAATTTAAATTTTTATATATATGGTACTTCTTTTATTATGATCTTGATTTTGGGCAAATACATATATATAAATCATGTGCTTTTGTAACAAATAATTGAGTTTCATTATTTGTGGGTTCTACCATTATTGGCAAATTTACAGCTCATACACGTGAAGTTTCATCTGGCATCACAACTTGCATTAATAATTGATTGGCCAGGCTTTATCAGATCTGCTCTCTCCAGGCTTTATCTACTCTCTCTCCCCTATAAATATGTTCATTTTGCTGAGTAGAAAGACACACGGAGAAAAACTAAGAGAAAGAAAAGGGATAGAAAAGAAAGAATAGAGATATAGAAATTATTTTGGAGGGATAAAAAAAAATATTCGAGAGAAAAATTTAGAAATATTTATTTGTTATCAAAATAACAAAAGAGTGATATTTTATTCCTAATTTTAAGTGTCCAATTCTCGACTCTGTTCCAGTTCGCCAGAGCTCGTAAATCTGGTGTGCTACAGATTTAGAGACGTTTGCCGTTGTATCTTTGGGGAAGTTACGCCTGAACCGTTAGCAACACACGGGGCGTATTCTTCTTGCGGAAAGAATTTTACTCGCCTCGGCTAAAATCTATCTACTTTTATTTTTCAGTTGTAATTTAATTTCTCAGTTCAATTGTAATTTTCTAATTTTAGATTATTTGTAAGAACTGAAAATACATATCATTTCGTAGGATTCTCGTGTAATTTTATACTAAGATTCTAACAATCGCAAGAAGAATATCTCAACCTACTGGACTGAAGGCTTCCACCGGAAATGGTTCCAACACTCAGCATCAGATCAATCATGTCCCTACTGCTGAGAAGCCCGAAAAATTCAATGGGCTTGATTTTAAAAGGTGGCAACAAAAGATGCATTTTCACCAGACCACTTTGGGTTTGGTTGAATACCTGAAGGACGACCCCCCAGTTATTGCTGAAAATGGGACCAATACTGAACCACGCACTGCGTACAAAGTTTGGGGGCAAGGTGATTACCTTTGTCGTAACTATGTCCTGAACGGACTTAGTAACCAGTTGTATAATGTGTACAGCTCGGTTGGTTCTGCCAAAGAGCTTTGGGCTGCTTTGGAGAAGAAGTACAAGACTGAGGATGTCGGGGCGAAGAAATTCGTCGTCGGCAAATTTCTTGACTTCAAAATGGTTGACACTAAGACCGTTGTGTCTCAAGTGCAAGAGTTCCAACTCATCTTGCATGATATCCATGCAGAGGGAATGTCTCTGAGCGAGTCATTTCAAGTTGCGGCTGTGATTTAAAAACTGCCGACGGGTTGGAAAGACTTCAAGAACTACCTCAAACATAACAGGAAGGAAATGAGTCTTGAAGATTTGATTGTTCGTCTTTGTATTGAGGATCAATCGTAATTCATCGGGGAAATTTTGGATGATGGAGGCTTGTGCTAACTTGCTACAGCAAGGCAACTCGAGCAAGAGGAAGTCCCTTGACAAAGGGAAGCAACCTTTGGAAGTTTACCGGAACTTGCTATAATTGTGGAAAGTCGAACCATATGGCTAAAGACTGCAAGAGGCCAAAGAAGGCTGGGCCAAAGAAAGGTAAACCGAGTGCCCTTGTGGCTGAACACGGCCCTGTGCCGGGTGAACTGACCGACTTTGATATGTCGGCTGTGGTGTTTGAAGCCAATATGGTGGATAACCCAATGGAGTGATTCATCGATACTGGTGTCACTCGTCATGTGTGTTCTGATAAGGAGGTGTTCTCTGAATACACTCCTGCTAAGAGTAGGAAACTTTACATGGCAAACTCCGCCACGGCTGATGTGGCTGGAGTGGGCACTGTGGTGCTGAAGCTGACTTCTGGAAAGGCGTTGAAGCTTAAGAATGTTCTGCATGTCCCAGACATCCGCAAAAATTTGGTCTCTGGATCTCTTCTTGTTGAGCATGGATTTTTAGGCTGGTTTTTGATGCTAAGAAGTTTGTTCTTAGCAAGCTTGGAACATTCCTTGGTCGAGGATATCTCGACAGGGGTTTGTTCAAAATGAATGTAATGGGCATGAGCCGTATAACCGTTGAAAATGAAAAGCCTATTTCTGTTTATACCATTGAGTGCTCTGATTTATGGCATATTAGATTGAGACATGTAAATCTAAATCCAATTAAACGGTTGATGAATTTGGAATTAATTCCTAATTCTAAATTTGAGACAAATACAAAATGTGAAATTTGTATTGAAGCAAAAATGGTTAAGTTGCCTTTTCACTCGGTGGAAAGGAGTACTGAACCATTAGGCTTGATCCATACTGATGTATGTGATATGAAAAGTGTGCAAACAAGAACGGGTAAAAAGTATTTTATTACTTTTATCGATGATTGCACAAGGTATTGCTACTTATATTTGTTAAGAAGCAAAGACGAGGCTGTGGAAGCATTTAAGATCTATAAGACCGAAGTTGAAAATCAACTTGGCAAAAGGATTAAAATAATCCGAAGTGATAGGGGTGGGGAGTATGTAGCTCATTTTGAATAAATAAGTTCTGAATATGGCATAATTCATCAAACGACGGCCCCTTATTCTCCACAGTCGAATGGTGTTGCTGAACGCAAGAACCGTACTTTAAAAGAAATGATGAATGCCATGATGATAAATTCAGGATTACCATAGAACATGTGGGAGGAAGCTATTATAACAGCAAATCATATCCTGAATAAAATACCACCTAAAAGGAAAAATGAGACTCCTTATGAAATGTGGAAAAATCGTAAACCGTCTTATAAGTACTTGAAAGTGTGGGGGTGTTTGACTAAGGTTTCAGTACCGGAACCCAAACAAATGAGAATCGGGCCAAAGACGGTCGATTGCATATTTATTGGATATGCGTACAATAGTACAACATATAGATTTCTAGTTCATAAATCAGAAAATCCAGAGGTATCTGTTGGTACCATGATTGAGTCGAAGAATGCTATATGCTTTGAGAATATTTTTCCTCTGAAAGAAAGGGCAGAATCTAGTTCTAATAAACGAACGTATGAAACTGTTAGTGGTTCTGTACCAGAGGGTACTGATGAAGAACCGAGACGTAGTAAAAGGTTAAAAACGGCGAAAACGTTTGGACCTAATTTTATTACGTACATGTTGGACGATGAACCAAGCTCCCTTAAGGAAGCTCTGTCCAGCCCAGATGGACCACTCTAAGAAGAAGCTGTAAATAGCGAAATCGTGTCCATTATGCATGAAACAACCTGAAGGGTTTGTTGCACATGGACAAGAAAGAAAGGTGTGTAGATTGATCAAATCCTTGTACGGACTGAAACAAGCTCCGAAACAATGGCATTTGAAATTTGATGACGTGATGTTGTCAAATGATTTCAAAATAAATAAATGTGACAAATGTGTTTATGTCAAGAGTACATCAAATACATTTGTTATTGTATGTCTATATGTACACGATATGTTGATCATGGAGAGTAGCCATGAAGTGATCATGGATACGAAAAGAATGTTGAAAAGAAATTTCGACATGAAAGATATAGGTTTGAGTGATGTTATTCTTGGAATAAGGATTATCAGAACC